AAAAAGGCCCATTTTAGGCCATTTTTGCCAAATTTGGCAACTTTCCGGTCCGAATTTAATGGCGCAAAGTTGAAATTCGGATTCAGCGTCAAAAATTACATAGGAATCGATGAAAACCTTGCTACCCGGGATTTTTGCAAAAACCGCAAAAAAACGCGATTTTCGTTCATTTTTCGAAGTTCGGTGCCCGTCAGCGCGCTTAGTTTTGCCTTGAGCAAAAAAGTGTATTGAAACTTTTTTATGGGAAATTTAACGAACTTTTTTTTAAAACAACCAAATTGTCGTCAGATCAACTTTGGACGAGTCACAGGCCTTAACCCGCAAAAAACCAAATTTTCGCTCATTTTTCAAAGTTTGGAGCCCGCCAGCGCGCTTGATTTTGCCCTGAGCAAAAAAAAGTATAGGAACTGTTTTATAGGAAATTTAACAAGCTTCATTTCTTAAAATAACTAATTTTATCGTCAGATCAATTTTTGGCAAGTTACAGGCCATAATCCGGAAAAAAGGCCGATTTTAGGCCATTTTTGCCAAACTTGGCAACTTTCCGGTCCGAATTTAATGGCGCAAAGTTGAAATTCGAATTCAGCGTCAAAAATTACATAGGAATCGATGAAAACCTTGCTACCCGGGATTTTTGCAGGCTCTTTTCCTTGTTTGCCTGGACTAATACCTCTGAAGCGTCCATATCACTTAAAAACAGAATTTCTAAAAAAGCGGCGATGCGGGTTTTTTTTCAAACTGCACATCCATTCACACTGTCAAAAATTTTGGAGCGAAATTCAATGTCGAATTCTATATAGCGCCTAAAGTTCCCGAGTGATTTTAATGCGGGGTAAAATCTACTCAACGGAATGACTTATATACTTTGACGAGGTGGAATCCACCATTTTTAGGAAGAGCCGTAGACAAAAAAACAACTTAGCTGAGAACCCTAACACTTTAGGTAAAATAGCACCAACTCAATGCAGTAGTGCTGGAACCCTACAACCTCAGGGTCTAGCCCTACAGATTTAAGGTCCAGCCCTATAGCCTTAGGGTCTAGCCCTACTGCCTTTAGTTGGCGCTATTTTACCTAAACAGAGTTAAGTCTCAGCGTTAAGTTGTTTTTTCTGTGTACGCTTTTACGAAGCGAATTTCACTTGGCACTCATCGCTCGGGTTCTTTAGGCACTGCACAGACTCCAGAGTGTTCCACACACCGAATCACCCCTCGATTTTCAACAGTACTTTGGCAGCAGCACTGCCATACCATGTCCGTCAAAAGTTCCGGGTCTCGGAACTTTTTTGTTCCAATTTCTCTCACTCCATGGTCATCAAAAGTTCCGGGATTCCTTACAGACTTTTTCAAAAGTTCCGAGAAAGTTGCGGAAAATGCAAAAGATCCGAAAATTTTGAAAATTTCAAAATTTCTGGGAAAAATTCAGGAACATCTCAAAAGTTCCGAAATTCGATACCAGCTCCGAGAAATTGGATAGCTGACGGCCGTAATTATTTAGAAACAGTGTTCGAAACTCACAGGCGCCAACGCGCCAAATGCGCCTAAAAAATCGGCCATGGCGCCTAAAAAATGAAGGCTCTGCGCCAACGTGGCCCCTAAAAATCTGGATTTCCATAGGAAGTCACACAAAGAAAGAAAAACAAATCTATTTGAATTAAAAAATCTCGAAAGCTTTTTCTATTCTTCACGATTTCATTCTTAGTGCTTTTGTCCTCCCCAAGTTAAAGCTACTTACTACTACTTCTGTTACGAAAACATCTGGCGTCTAACTTGTCACTAAATGTGCTGTAATATACAGGCAAAAAGTCAATTTGGCCCCTAAAATATCTTCAATGGCGCCTAAAAGTCGGGCTTGTTGCGCCACATGGCTCCTAAAACTCAAAGGTGAGTTTCGAACATTGCATACCATGTCCGTCAAAAGTTCCGGGATTCGGAACTTTTTCGTTCCAATTTCTCTCACTCCATGGCCATCAAAAGTTCCGGGATTCCTTACAGACTTTTCCAAAAGTTCCGAGAAAGTTGCGGAAAATGCAAAAGATCTGTAACATTTTGAAAATTTCAACATTTCCGGGAAAAATTCTGGAAAATCTCAAAAGTTCCGAAATTCGGTACTAGTTCCGAGAAATTGGATAACTGACGGCCGTAATTATTTAGAAATGACCTTCATGGTTTTACTGACCTATGAGGAAGCGACAGGATGATGAGAGGTGCGAGGGGACGGTGAAAACCCCGGCGAGAATGTTGCGCTTGAGGGCGGCGATGGAGTCGGCGGGGAAGGGCATGTACCCGGTGGTCATGAAGTAGAGGAGCACTCCCATGGCCCACACGTCGACCGGGCCCCCGACGTAGGACTCGTCGCGGAAAAGTTCCGGTGCCGCGTACGGCGGAGAACCGCAGAACGTCTTCAGCTGCTCCTCAAATCCTGCCGGTTATAACATGAGAATTATTAGTGCTGATGATGTTAAACGGGACCTTTTCCACCAAAAAAAAGGATGTTGATTTAACATTCTGGATGTAAAAAAGTGTGCTATAAATCACAAAACACTGCACTGGAAAAAACACATTGGATCTTCTAGAGTCCAGTCTCTTAAAAACATCGACAAGAAAAAGTACTCTTGATTCAATCAGAATCTAGTTTAAATCAAGAACCAAGCTTCTTAATTTAAGCGGATTTCGTTATGATTCAAGCAAAAATCCGATTGAATCAAGAGTATGTATTCTTGTCAATGTTCTCAAGAGTCTGGACTCTAGATCCAATATGTTTTTTTTTTTTTTTTTTTCTAGTGTGAATGGGCCACTTAGACAAGATGTCTTCTCTTCAAAATCTTACGTAGACCACCATTCACACAACGGAAAGTTCGATTTCAACTCCCGAACGAGATATTGACAAGTATTTTTAACACAGATCAAATGGACTGCATTTTGCAATTTGGAACTATAAATCCTGGCTTTTCTGAAAAAACACTTGTGGGCATAGGGAAACTAATGGCACATACGTTGTTTTTTAAACCGGGCCAGAATTTATAGTTCCAAATTGGAAAATGTAGTCCAAATGGAAGTCAGATAATACAAATGGCGTCATTTGCATTTTTACCATCTGACCAATGTTAGTTGGACGTATTTCTATCTAAGAAAACTATGTGCAGGTGGGAAAGATGGGGTCTGCTCGTTAGTGCTCGGGCCATAAGAATGAATGGGAAATATAAATCGCCAGTGACGAAGCCGGGCGGGCGACCAGCGCCGAACTCGCATTGACGCCTACAAACCTAAGTGGATACTTCAAGCAGTGTGCAATGCGTGAAATATCCACTTAGGTTTGTAGGCGCCAGTGAGCCTCTTGCGCTGGCAGCACGCCGATCCGCTCTGTTAGGCTTTAATATTTAGCGTATTTTTACTCATAATTTTGAAATGTTAGCACCTGCATTGATTAATCTCATTTGAATTGATGGTAAAAAAAAAATATGTATCAATTTATCAAATGAGAATAATAATGTAAAGTGTGTTTTTTAAATATTGGTGGCTCCGTGTCAAATTTAATGATTTCCAAAGCACTTTAATTTTTTCTTTTACATTTTGTGCTTTTATTGTGCCGCAGCGAGGTGTACGCGCAACGAAACTGTCAAAATTTGACGTATTTGACTCTAAAAGATCGATGTACAAATGGGTTAAAAATAAAGATTGCGTGCTTCTTGGTTTTTCCCCTCTTTTATTCATTTTTGCAGTTTCTTTCGGCACAACTGCGGCTCATTGAGATTAATGTCGCTTGGAAAAGGTTTTACAAATATTTGTCACGTTTTAAAAATATAAATGTTTTAAAAATGAAGTAATAATTTCGTAAAGAAAAAATAAAAAAGAAAAGTACCTATACATATATAAGGTATATTGTACATTCAATATTTTAAGGATAGAAATAAAACCAAATATTCACCAATGACAATTTAAAAAGATGATTCAAGAGGAGAAAGTAATAAAATTTCATTTAGAAAATGAGCAACCGCATAACAACACCTCCTTCTCTCTCAATTTCTCATTTCCATATTGTCACTATAATTTTACATACCGACTAAAATATAACGCTTGGACCAAGTCACTGTTGCTTATATTACGCGTGGGCGTAAACTACTGGACAAAAAATCGTTGAAAAAATGTCCTGAAACCGAAGGTTCATTAACCACTACAGCAGTTACTTTAGCAACGTCAAGATGTAAACCTAACTGCTGTGGCGGTTATTTCACGTTTTGTGAGATGTCGCACACTTTTTTACATCCAGAATGTTAAATCAGCATCCTTTTTTTTTCGGTGTCGGTTTTGTCGCCAAAAAGCATTGTGATACACAATATGTAACGACTCCAGTGGAGTGTTCAGGCGTTAAATGGACGAATTTATGATAAAAGGAAATAGAGGCGTGTGGGAATAATAGAAATGTGCAGGTGTGTTCGTGCAAACTCTATTGGGAACAATGTAAAAGTGGACGTGATTCCTTTTGGGAAAATGGAAGTGGAATTTTACATTAAATTAAAAGAACTAAGCGCCAAAAAGTCGAGCAAAAAAAGAAAAGAAAAAAAGAAAAAGAAAAAGAAAAAAAATAATACCAATGCAACTCCTTTGGGACTTCCTTTGACTCTATAATTTGCAAAGATATATCGATGGCAAAAGTGCAAAACCACGTATCTTCGTTTGCGGTGTTTCAGACTTCCTGTTGTACTTTATTTTTTCATCAGAAAAACTAGGCAACTTAATATCTTGAACACTTCCTTGATCTCCTTCTTTAATAGCAGATTATTCCGTATAAATTTCCATCTATATTGTTGTGAATTGTTACTCTCCGAAAAAATGAAATAGGAGTAGAGATTCTAAGACACGGCAATGCAGACGAGTGGTTTCACACTTAAGCCATCGATATGCCTTTTTAAAATGTTGACATCGTGTCCGACATTGGCAGCTCAGTATATGAAAACTGCTTTGAAGGTGAGGAGAAAAAAATGCACCTAGCGTTACTGAAGGTTTTTTTTTATTTTTTTATTATTATTTGTATTTTTTTTTGGAGTGAGCGTTAACCAAGGTGGTTCAAAAACGTTTGCGCAGACACCTCAATCCCTAGAGGGAATCTCACGATGTACCCGATTGGTTGACCCATTTTGAAATAAATAGGTATAAAATGTAAGATCTATGCTCTTTCTCTTTGCAGCCGAATGTTACTTACTTAATCATTACGAGAAAGCAGAACAAACAGCTATAGTTTCTTAACGAGAACCAACGAACAATAATGCTTACCGTTTGCAAGCCTTGTGCTGAATCCAAAATCCCCCACTTTAACCAGGCCTCTTGAGCTACAAAAAACATTCTCTGCTTTCAGATCTCGGTGAATAATCAAATTCTGGTGCTGAAATCATACATAAAAAAACACGATGAGTAAATAAGCCAAAATAACAAATAATACCAAAGAGGTTTTGCATAGATTCGGCTGAATAGTTAAAAAACGGAGCCCGAATACGCCTTTCATTCTTCGGCTGTGTAACTCACGCAGCCTTGGAAGCATCACTACCAATATAAGACAAACGGAACGAAAACAACATGAAAATAGAGCGAGGGAAAGGTCGCGCGTCGATGACGGCGCAGAGATACAACTATTCGTGCTCAATGGATGTCTGTGTTGCGTCTGCAAAATTGAAGGCGCGATGACGCGAGACGTAAACTCGAAATGCTCCGCTCTAAGCTGCCGCTGAGGTGTTGCTCAGATTGGGGAGAGACGTTGAAACCAAGGCCCAAATACGTCTCTTTCTATCTTTATTTAGTTGTTCTGACATTCATTTTTTTCTTTTTTTCAACTTGATTTCTGATTCTTTTTTTACGATGTATTTGTAGACCCATATCTAAAAATTGGATGTACTACCCCCCATACAAACCGCGCATCACGTGTTCATAGGAGTCAAAATGATCCGGCTTGCGCATGAAGGAGTCAATGGCGTGGCATACTTTGCGATAAATTGATTGATTTGCCTTTTGAACCCATGGAAAAGTATCGATAAACAGGGTGTTCGCAATGAACACTTTAATAATCGATTTTTTACCACAGCTTCAAACGGGGAGAAATCGATAATCGATTATTCACAACTCGCCACTGGTAAGGGTTAATCAGCTGGCATGAGCGAATTGAAATTCCTGATAACCGCGCCTAGCGTTGTCAACCGTGGAATTGAATTCATCCAAATGAGTTACATACGTTAGTAATCTTCTTAAATACATAAAAAAAATGATTCATAAATAGTACCGCTTAACCTCAGCAAAAACAGTCTTCTGCTGTTTTGTGCTTAAATGATTCTTTTTATAGAATGAAACTTTAGTTCGCCCTATTAATAGGCGTGAAGTAAAGCATTCCAATTGCTGATAACAGGTTCAAAGATGCAGGCAAAATAATGACCGCATCAGTTACGTATTCGTTCTTCATCGTTTACCGCAAAATGATCACGTGAGAGTGTAAAGCTCGCAGTCGAGTAAAGTTTTTATTTTTAACATAACTGAAGAATGTCACTCAACGCTTTCCATGATAGATTCTTTGAAACATAGAGGTGTCATTGATATGACCTCTTCGAATTGGAGACATGTGGAACCCATAGTATAGTTAAATTGTGCCCCTAAGTATTTAAATTACAAATCATGGAAAAGACAATAGCAGCAGGCTGCGGTATTTTATTCGTAAAGGGTGAGAGAGGGGTGTATGGTCAAAATCTTATGGTGAGAAGTAGCAAAAGATAGAGAGGTAAAACATTTTTGAAAATCTTCAAGGGCAAAAATCTTCTTTTTTGTATGTTTTTGGATTATAAGATTATGGTGGAATTTAGAGCCACGTGACTGCGTTTTTATCCCTGTTGTCTGACTATTTATGAGAGGAGAAATTTGGTTACTTCAGCAATTGAAAATTTGCCTCATGATAAAAATTTCAAATTTTGTCAGCATCTAAATACGACTCCAGCAAGACAAATTATAAATAAAAAAAACAACATAAGATTACTGCAAGGGTCTATTTTAAATTATGGCACACTGAAATCGGGTTTTTGGACTCCCCCTCCTCATCACACATTCTTCAATCGAATCTGCACCCCACTTCGAAAAATGAAGGTACACCTAGCCAGACCGCATTTTGGAGTAAATCATGGTCCATATCTTTCGTTGATTTTTTTTAGTAAAACCAGCAACAAATTCTTAAACAAATCGGCATTTGCACCAGTTTTTGCGTGATGTCCCGCAATTTTAGACTCCTCCAACCCCTTCTCACGCAATCGTCACGCGAGTCACGTAGGTACGTGGGTGTTACGTAATTGTTGGATGGGCTCTGATCTACATTTAAAATACGAGTAATACAATTTTAGACGTGAATGTCCTTAGTGGATGTTCATAATGGCTTTCACAATATTCTAATGAAGTAAGACTCGTATTGAGAAACAGATTGATTTGCCATGCGCCCTCAATCTTCCCGCACTGCCAATCAAGCTCGAGACAATAATCCAATCAATTTAATCAGGGATGAGACTCTTACTCTGACCCCAGCTGCTTTAGTTCAAGTAATTCTGTTTACATAGTTCACTGATCTCCTGTTGACACTCTCATTAAATCACCTTTAGCCTCGATGTTAGTTTATTTGAAGAGAAACTGCTATTTATAGCCTATATTCAATAATTTATAATATGATTTTCTGACGAAATGAGTAAATTGAATTCGGTGTCAGAATATTCTGCTTTTTTCAGCAAAAGCTCCAGGTTCTGTTTCGAAAACTTATTATTTAGAAAAAACGGAGGGGGCCTCAGTGATAGTTTCTGACTTGATACGTGATAACTCAACCGATAAGAAATGTAAGCAAGATAATTCACGATGAATAGATGTTAAACATTGAACTTAATGATTCATTCAAGGCGCACTTACTTAGACTGGAAGCGTTCTTCTCAGTCTTCTCATGCTCGCAAACATATATAAGCACAATATCCTCCGATAATCCATTATTTAGTCGCTGATCGTCGTTGTAAATTAATTAATTTTCCTAACTTGAGTAACATCATTTTTTTGACGTCACTCAGCATACCGTTTTTCAATGTATTATATTCCTGGCTCGAAAATCAAGAATAGCAACAGTTTATTTCATTACATGAGGAGTTCTTTCCTTTTTTACTTTTTTGTTCAAATTATGATTTATTTTTATCTTCTATATATGTACGTGCATACTTTTTTGGGGGAAGAGGGTTCATCATTACTCGTGATTTATCATAGCCATATATGTGGACAGTAGTGTTACAATATTTTCAACTTAGAATCCCAATGTAGGTATACATATATAACCGAGTGTTTCATGAAAATAGCTCCAGGAACATGATATCAAGTGATCTCGCCCTACTACCTTTCAACTTTATTCAACCTCAATTTTGGATTGCATTTTGCAAAAAGGAACCACTAGCATTGCAATGATGCTAAGATTGTGCAACTTCATCTTTTGCAATAAAATTTCGGAAATCGTGAAAAACTATGAAATTTAGATGGTAATTTTTGTCTTTAATTTACAGTTTTTAGCGAGTAAAATAGAAACTATTAATGGATAATCGGGTTTTTCCTCCAAGACGAAAGAAGTTGCACAATCTTAGCAGCATTGCAATGCTAGTGGTTCCTTTTTGCAAAATGCAATCCAAGTGACCAAATGGGAAAATCTTGTCTCTTACCAGGTATTTGACAGCTGACAAAATTTGAGCAAAAATGGTCTTGGCATCGATTTCTGGAAGTTTCCCAACGGCAGTCAGCTTTTGATAAAGCTCTCCTCCACTGGCGTATTCCATGACTAGAAATAGTTTCGAGAAAGATTCGATCACCTCAAATAATCTGAAACCAAATAACGATTAGGAATTCAGTACGAGTTAGCAGCCGTTTACAATTATGCTCCTCGAGACTCATCACTTAATCAAGAAAGGTTCTTTTTGCACGCTAACACTAAAAAATTAATGATTGAATAAACGAGACAATATCTTGGGTGAAAGTAAGGAAACAGACATTAACTTCAGACACACGGTCATCTCCCTCGCGAAGGAACGTAACTGCTTTTCAATGTTGCCAAATTTCTCCTCGCATATTGCATATTTACCAGGAGAATCTTGGTCTTTTCTGACTGAAAATTGCGCTGATTTTTCCTCTGATCTCTTACGAAAATAAAAAAAAAATCGACTAAAATTGCACAGGTACATTCTTGTAAAAAATTAAATTATTTGACTCAACTGTGCAACCTTGGAATGGATTTACGTTCCTTCATACTAGAAATGACGATATAATGAATCAATGGCAGCTGGAGGCATTTTAAATCTTACATCATGATCAGTAGCTCACAAACAGATTTACTGATTTGTATAATCTGAAGATTTATTTTGGATTCTGACCAATAGCTGACGAGATGAAGAAAAGGTAACTTCGCCTACCTGATGATATTTGGATGGTGAATCGACGTCATGTTAGAGATTTCACGGTCCAACATCCTGCGTGCTTTGACAGTCAGCTTGGCTTTATCCAGAATTTTAATAGCAACTCTTTCTGAAAAACAAAATTAAAAGAGCGTTTAAAATTTAAATGTAGCAAACTGTATTCTCTGAGGTAGACCTGACTTTTGCAGAGCTAACTGAAATGTCGAGGCCTTCTCCTTCACTTTCTTTCATAGTTATTTTTTGGGGATGTCCTATGAAGGGATGGTGGCAGGGCGTTAACAAAGAGAAATTGCATTGATAGTTGTGCGATAAACTCTGGGAACATGCAGCGTTTGGGTGTTGCAGAACGCCAAAACACGTTGTAGGAGCGACTTTTATGTATGTATGTGCGTGCTTTTTGCAAATATAATAGTGACATAAAGAACGGTTTTCCTCCAACTTGTCGGTCCCTTTATCATCGGAGCAACGTTTTGCTGGTTACAACGATAAGAAGTGTTGTAAAATGATAGGATTATGAGAGCAGTGAGATCCCGCTGAAGCGCCTTCATTCTTTAGTGTATGCAACACGGTTGCACAGATCGCGAATAGTTGCATCCAGACGTTACCTTCGATTTAATGTTTCGTCAGTCGGGTGAAAGAACATTATCAGGTTTACCTACTCAAATTGGGTTTTTATTTTAAATTCAAATTTTTTTCAGAATATGGATAACCCCCTCCCCTCCCCTCTTGATTAATAAAAGAGAAACCTCTCATAGTATAAAATACTCCGGATTAAGAGGAGTCCCCTGTCCTATACCAAAGTATGTATCCTTTGTCATTTCGTGTACCTTATCCTCAGGAACTATTGAACATATTTGAACGATTTCTGTCTTTTTTGTAGGTAATAGCCTTCTGTACAAATACACGAACCAGTATTTGAAAAGTTTAAATTTTGACCGGTTTTTGAAAAATTTTTAAGCAAATATAATTTTTTCGACTTCACCAACCTCTAAAAATGTTGAATGTCAAAGAAGTAAACTTTTCAGGAGCACTATTTAAAAATTCACGATCCGTAAAAAAAGAGGGTTGAAAAAAAGGGTTGATGTCTTTGGTTGCGCTTACAAGAAGATTAGCTGACAGCATTCTAATCGTCAGAATAAAGAAAACTAAAAGGGCAAATGAAACCTGAGAGTATGTCTGGTCTAAAGAACGTAAAAACTAAAAATTGAAAATGTTTGACAGGTGACTGCCCTTTAGACCTACCCTGGTAAAAATTGGCGATAGGAGCTGCGTCTCAAAATACCATAGTAGTACTTATAGCCGACTAAAGAAGGCTATAGAAAATCATATAGCTGGCTGTAGAAAGCGGAGTAAATCATACGGCCGAGCTATACGAAGCGATAACAAATTATGGAGCCGGGTTATAGTTCCTATTGCCGGGCCTTGCACTCTATCGCCTGGTCTTTGCTTTATCGTCATCGGCTATAAAAGGCTAGACGAAATCTTGTAGACATTCGTGTGCTTTGTAAATCTTTAAGTTTGTACGGAATCACCTTAATATTTACAAAACACACAATGTATTTTCCTTTAATACATATTTTTTCATCAATTAAAAGGAGAATAATCCATACAGAGTGTGCAAACATTTCAAAGTCATGAGTTGAAAAACGCTAACTCCGCGAGATTAAATATTAGAGCCTAACACAAAGCGGAGCGGCGACGCACTGGCGCCTACAAACCTAACGGGGATACTTCACGCATTGCGCGATGCGTGAAGTATTCCTGTTAGGTTTGTAGGCGCTAATGCGCGCTCTCTGCCCGCCCGCCCGCCGCGCCGCAGCGTGCCACGGCGCCTGAAGCAACTATTTCACACCAAAGGTATTGCACAGTATCATACAAAATTAAAGGCGCTCCAACATATTGAATGCAGGCATCCTTCAAAAGTACGGAGCTTTCCTCGCAAATTAAATCAAGATACGGCCCAAATAGAGAGCGGTATTCCAAAAACTCACTAAGTCCTAGCATCCGCAATTAGTAACGTTTAGCATACACTTTATCGCCTGGCTGTTGCTTAGTCGCCGTGGGCTATAAAAGGCTATTAGAAATTGTGTAGCCGGCTATAGAAGATATTAAGGATCTTACAGCCAGCTTCAGGTCTATGGTATTTTGGAACACAGATTCTACTGCCAATTTTTACCAGGGTAGTCCTAATTTTTGTATCCATTACTGTATAAAATACTTGGGATTGTGATATTGTCAGGCACAAATACTCAAATTGCGGCACATTGAGCTTCAAAGACCCGAATTGCATAATATTCCCCCGGGATTGTAAAAACTAGACAGGGGCTCCAGAATGGCGCCGGAAGAAAACCTACAACCTCTGAACGAATATAATCAGAGCACTCCCACGACAATCGACTTCACACGTCAAACCAGTGTTGCCAACAATCAAAAGATCCAACATTATCAATGATTTTCTCTTCAAGTCAAAAGTGCTAAATAGAGCAGGTAAAGTTTTGATGAAAAGCAGTATCTTTGAAATACACTCAACCCTTATACGTGGCTGCAGAGGCAGTAAAAGCTCCTTTATTCCGTTAGAAATTAGAACTAGGAGATAATGGTACCGGAGATTGGCGTTCTTTGCAACATAAAATGCGGTAACACAAAATATATGGAAAACAGCCTTTCGAAGTTTACTTTTTAAATGTATCGGCTACTTTGACTATAAATTGTCTCTGATTGTGTTCAGTTCTGTTAAAACAATTGAACGCGATAGTTCATTTTGTGGCTTCATATTTCGAGCTCAAAAGTAGATTGTGTCCTAAGTTCTTAATAATTTTCTCAACTTCAAACCTCCGTTTCCGAAATCACCGAAATGTCACTTACGCCCTTCGTCCGTAATACCCTTTCATTTTCTGTCAACTTTTCTAACTGGAAGAGCATTCACGAATTGAAGACCGGATTAAATGGGTAAGTTTCGCTGGTCTCGCAATCGTATTCTGATGCTTGATTCTTGCAGATTAGCTAAAAAATAATAAGATCTGTCAAAATAGCAACTTTCAACGTCAGACCGAGATACTTAACCAACACGTAACCGAGATATCGCGCTTTGAAAATTTCGGTTTATGACGTCATTCACGGCGTTAGTGACGCCCTTAATTTCCTCCACGTTGCTTTCATCATTCAGGGAAACACTTATTTATACTGCCGGCTGATGGTTGAAATTGATGGACACAGCGATAGACAAAAAAAGACATAGGGAGTATGGAGCTATCCTATTGGTTGAAATGGGTGGTTCTTACATACTAAGGGGGTAAATGAAGGACTAAGTAAAGGGCCACTCATGGATTGCCATTAGTTATTATACTACCCACCTCCTTCTGTCCATTGCAACCACCCGCTTGTCTTCTTTGTCTAAAGCTTTGTCTATCAATGTCAACAATCATCCCGCTGTTTAGTGAACGTGTTACTCGGATGAAAGCAAGGTGAAAGAAACCAAGAGTGTCGCGGTCGATGATTTCGTAACCGAATTTTTCAAAGCGCGATATCTCGGTTGATTCAATGTGGAAAGTCGCTGCCTGGACAGATTTCATTATATTTAGCTAATCCACAAAAATAAAGCATCTAATAAAAACACGATTCTGTGACCAGCGCAACTGACCCTTTTTGATTTACATATACATCATGCAACTCTTTTAAAATCGTCATGCATTAATTTTATTTTATTTTTTTTTATTCACGGGTGCTTCATCGTAATTTTACTCAAATCAATCGGAGAGATTTCCGGGTGAAAATTTCCGGCGACATGACAACCTCAAGTGCAAGCATTAATGAGTGAGCCGGGAAAATAAACAAGGGTTGGAAAAAGGATTTAATGAACGGAACAATAGGTATTGGCGCAGGATAATTATAGCTGCGACGACGGCGCTGAGCGTCGTAATAACCGTTATCACGTTTCCACCACTAATATAAGGTGGCTACATTGCAGCATACGCCATCGCCTCGCCCAGTTTCAGACCCGCCGCTGACCGGTTGGCCAATGCCCTAGACCCTTTCTCCCTGTCTCTACCCCTGCCCCTTACTTACTGAACCTTCAAGACATCCCTCGTGCAAATTGAATCGCTAATTAAAAAACGTTTGGATCCCTCCTCATTGCCATCTCCAAAAAACCGTAGAGCAAAAAAAACTGGATTCAGTTGAAAATTTGCGCTGTTTGGAAAATTTGCTCATATTAAGTAAAGAGAAAATTAAATTTTGAAGCCCTTTAAATGTACAGTAAGAACGTTTTAAATCTTTCAATCAAATACGTTTGGAAACAGACAAAATTCAAGTTTGTCTATTTAACGTATGAATTAAAAAAATAGTAGGTAAATGTGAAAAAAATAATAAAATTGCAAAAATAAATAAAAAGAAAGATGCGAGTAACTTTAAGCCCATTTTAATGCAATAAGAGTAAACAGCTTAGTTACAAGCTCCCTTTTTTGAAAAGGTTGATTAGTGTGAATCACATATGGTCTTACGTTTTCGACTACATACAAGCCGTTACTTGAAACAGCAACACCTAGTTGATTATTCCGCCTACTATGGTGGTTTTTCGAGCAATTATGAGTAATTGGGAGGTGGCACCATTTATTGTTTGCTTTAATTGTCTCTACAAGGCATTACCATCATCCGACTTTGTTTCCAGAAAAATGAAAAAGGCTTTATCGGGTTTTAATTTTTAAGGAGCTTCAAAAACCTCTGGCTCCACAATTTGAACATCACTGAAAAGAATCTGAGGTGGCACGGGGAATTCGCATCATTTTCGGCGAGGTTTCCGCTGATCAGAATTGATGGAAACATCTGTCTCTTCGACTCAGTGTCAAAGTTTTAAACCCAACATCCAACGATGACAAACTTTGGGGCACACTCTTGAACCAAGCAAATATCAAAAGTTCTCTCTCAGCGCTTCGGCCGTGCTCTAAAAATGCATGAATGCGCATACCTTTGCATCTTTAATAGAGAATAGGGAGGTTTTTGTGTACGTACTGGAACATGAAAAATGCGGTATTGTTATGACGGTTCTCTTTGGACTTTTTTTTCAAACGGGTCTTCCGTGGCAAGAGAGTTTAGCAGAATTTCCCAATTTCT